GGGCCGCTCCCAGCGGGGCTGGGCAGCGAGGGCAGAGCGGAGAGCGGGGCTGCAGCGCCAGGCGAGCCCAGGAGAGACGCGGAGAGAGCCTCCGTCTCGGCAGCAATGAGCGAGAAGCTGTTTAGTCATCTCTCTATATATACTTTCACAATGACGATCACATTTACTGATTGCTTCTGACTGCAATTTAGAGAGGGAGGCAAGAGGCAGGCAGCACAGCTCACCTTTTATCCTGAGGAGTGGCTGCTCCCCCTTCCTTCCCGTTCCCCACATTCAGCCCTGCTTTGGGCTTTGCTCTCCAGGTAAGGCAGCGCTGCAAGATGGGGCTCTCCGGGCTGGGAGGGAGGCAGGGAGGGGAGAACTTTGCATGCATTTATCCTACGCCTGTTGCTTTTGCTCCGAAATCTCCCCAACAGACGGAGGGAGTGAGTGTTTTGCAGAAAGTTTTATTTTCTGCTGCTGCTGGAGGGGAAGGAATGTGTGACTGACAGAAGACACCGAGGCTTTGGCTGACATATTTTGCTTTAAAGCAAAGGTCCCTTTGCTGCCTGAGCCTGGCCCAACAAGGACAGGAGAGGGAAGGAGGAATGATCTCCAGGCTCCTCTCTCCCATTAGCAGTGTCTTCTCAAGAAACTCGCAGTGTGTTTATGGGTCCGATTTCAGAACAGCCCTGTCTGCTTCTAGAAAGGGACACACTGGGATTTTTGCTTTGTGTCTGCTCTCTTGAGATGATGGAGGGACATTGATCAGTGTGCTATTGCCGTGGCAGCTGAAGTGGTAAGAACCCATCCTTTATTTCTGGACTCTCTAGGTGAACAGTCCTTACTGTTCTCTATCAAGTTTTCCTCCTGAGCTTTGCTGAGCCAGCCTTGGCTCTCGGGTTTTTGCTCCAAGCCGGGTGGGACCTGGGTGCCCCCAGAGCGGCTGCGGCGGAGCTGGCGCTGGTCGGGAGGGACCCCGAGGAGCCCTGGGAGGGGACAGGGGACTCGTGCTCAGCCTTTTCTATCAAATTTCCTTGACTGTTTCACTGTCCCCATAGTTATCTAAAGAAAACAGATTCTTTTCTCTACAGATACTTTTTTAAATCAGGAAGAAAATGATTCTATTTTGTGTAGCAGGTCTTCTAAATGTCATCAGCAGGGTGCCGGTCTGCTGTGAACCAGTTCCTTTTAAATTACACGCAGAAATGATGGTAATTAAAATTAGAAATATGGGTATAGCTAAATATATGCTTGTTAGAATTAGAGTGTGTCTGTTTTCTATGAGAGCTCCAGAGACTGTCAACAGTACATTAGATTTTGAGTCCAGCCAATTGCTTTCCAGCCTAAACAGACTGGTTAGCAGTCACCAAAATCCAAGCAGGCAGAAGAGGAGGATTCTTTCTACATTCTGGAATTCTGCATTCTAGATAAATGAGTTACTTCATTTTATTTTTGACTCAGCTTAGGTTGTGCAGGTCAGAATTATAAATCCAGTCCTCTCTCTCTCTCTCTCCCAATTTTCTTTCACTTCCTTCAGGGAGTAGTAGAGTTCCAAGGACTCATGGACAAGAAAAAGCAAAGCCTCTGCAACGGGGAATTTCACTTCACTTCTCACTCTGGGTCCTTCAGATAATTTACAGCTGAAAAAGCTTCCTCTTCTGTGTATTTTGAGGATCAAATGGGACAGATTGAATGTAACTCTGAGAACGAAGCTGGCTGTGCTCTGTTGTTCTAACCAGCTGCATCTCTTGGACCCAGAGAAATGGGAACTAAATTTCCACACAAGAATTCCCCTTTCTTTCTCTTTTGCTTTAATCTCCTGTCCCTTTCATAGCTGAGATATTTATAGTTTCCCCACATATACTGCCAGCATGAAAGGACCCATTTTATCTTTTAAAAATTGATTTAAAAATGTGTAAGTCACTTATGAGTTACCAGTGCTTTATTGGAACAATTATATGTGAAGTATTTATAGTGCCTCAGCAGCTAATGTAGGTAACCTGGAATCTACAACCAAAGTTATCAAAGTACAGAAGAGGTTTCTAACGTGCTTCCCCTGAGAAATCAGGGGAGATGAGGATCCAATGTGCTGAAACTGCTCAGGTCACCAGTCAGTCCTGGCAGAAGGACTCTGGTGATGGTGCTAAGGGAAATTAAAACCCAGGGAAGTCGGTTTGCCAGCAGGGAAAGCAGGAACAAGATGCCTTTTCTTGGTTTCTCAGTTATTTGCCTGTACATATTTGGTGACTAATGGATGAAACAGTTCTTATTTTGCTGCCTCCTGCTCTGAAGTGTTTCATGGGAGTTAAAAGATCCACCACTGGTGGTAGAAGGCTGCAGTGTGAGCCCACGGAGCCCCTGGAGATGCCCTTTCAGCTGAGGGCTGGGGGAGCTGCTCAAAGTCACGCAGAGAGAGTTTCTGGTCCCCAGGGCGGCCGGGCCGGCGCGATCCGCGCAGGAAATTCCTCCTTGGGGGGAGAGAAAAAAGTGCTGCTTTAACACTGAATGATTCTTCAGAGGGAAACACTGGGGGATGTTTGCTCCAGTGCCATGTAGATCAGCAAAGTGTCTCCTTGGGATAAGCATCGCTCTGGGTTATTGCATGTTCCGTAATTACCAAGGCTCTTCAGCAGCAGTTAGACGCTCGCACGAGGGATTTCAATTGTCCTTTAGACAGTAAAATTGCACAGGAAGATGCTCCACATTAAGGTGATGAATGTTAATTTGCCCCAAAGAGGAAAAGCATTTCTCTGAGCACTTCAGGCATTTTCACATGGACTGGTTCCATCATTTTTTATTCAGTGTTTTGATGGCCCATTGGAATCAATAAAGCTGCAGCCTTACCGGCTGGAATGGCAGCTTTCATATAAGTTCAAAACTTGAGAGTAAAACTGCCTACAAAGATACAATTAGGCTTTGAGGCAGTGGAATCAATGGAATTGATAAATTGACTTTTGATAGGGCTCCTAATGCACCTTGTATGACCTTTCTTCAGATAATTTCATGGTAGAATTAGAAAAGCACTAGGGAAGTGAAAGTAAAAACAAGTTAAAACAAAAGTTAAAGACTGTAAGAACTCTGACCAAAGATCAAAAAGATAAATTCATGGCTAGATCAGAATGCAAAAACTATTTAAACTTCAAGAGAATGTTGGCCTCTGGTGGCTGAGGATCTGGACAGCTTGGGATATTCCTCATCTAAAAATCCAAGCGTACAGTGAACATGTTTTGTTTCAACCTAGGAGTCCTTCAGTTCTTCAGCTGAAGGATTCTTCCCCTGCAAGCCAGGAAAAAAACAAAGCAACTTCCTGCTGGGAAGAAATTCTCCAGCTTTGGAGCCTTCCTTCATTCCAGTGTTCTTGGTATTTGTTAGCTTAATCCATCAGCCTTCAGACCTGGGACTGAAGCTTAGGGGTGCTCAGGTATTCTGAACAATGTTTCCCCAAAATCAGAATTTTCCTCTGGTCCAGTGGAGGCTGCAGTGTTTGCCAAGAGGAAACTCCACCTCTCAATGAAGGAGAGCAGCAGAAAACTGCTGCTGAGGCCAGGCCTTGAATTAAAGATGGAACACAGCTGGTGAAAACCAGAGAAATATTTCCATTTCTTTCAACTAAAGATGTTCTTAGTGCAAGATTCAGAACATACTGAACTTGTTTAGGACTGGAAATGCAGCTAAGCCCAGTCATGGGTTTTGGTGGTGTACGATTCCACTGCAGGCTGATTTCACTGGAGTTCCCAGCTCTTTCTTGACAGCTGTAGTTAAACTGATGAGCACAGGAGGCTTACACCTGGGGAATTATGGATTAGTCTTGTTTGTGAGGAAGCAAATATAAATTACTGTGTTTATGCTACTTTTAAAATGCTTTTAATGAGGAATCATTTGCTATTCAAAATTTCAATCTATAATAATGCCATAACCCCGCTGAGCTGATTATCATGTGCCTTGTTCAACATCATTCTTCACCTGGGAGGTGAGGGTGAGGCAGTGGTGTGAACCTCTCGTGTCTGTGCTCATCCTGGGCTCTTCCAGCCAGCGGGGCAGGCCCCGTGTGACTGTGTGCTGTGTTCTCTTCTGTGTTCCAGATGGAACTGCTCTGACTCCCAGCAGGTCCCAGGAGCACCCCAAGCCTCATCTCCAGTAACACGGCCCGGGCTCACCATGGCAGCAGGAGTGGCAGCGTGGTTGCCCTTCGCCAGGGCGGCTGCCATAGGATGGATGCCGGTGGCCAACTGTCCCATGCCACTGGCTCCAACGGAGAAGAACAAGAGGCAGGATGAGCTGATCATCCTCAATGTGAGTGGCAGGCGTTTCCAGACCTGGAGGACTACACTGGAGAGGTACCCGGACACTCTCCTGGGCAGCACAGAGAAGGAGTTCTTCTTCAATGAAGACACCAAGGAGTATTTCTTTGACCGGGACCCCGAGGTCTTCAGGTGCATCCTCAATTTTTATAGAACTGGCAAGCTGCACTACCCCAGGTACGAGTGCATCTCTGCCTACGACGAAGAGCTCGCCTTCTACGGGATCCTTCCCGAGATCATCGGGGACTGCTGCTACGAAGAGTACAAGGACAGGAAGCGGGAGAACGCGGAGCGGCTGATGGATGACAACGACTCGGAGAACAACCAGGAGGGCTCCATGCCCTCGCTGAGCTTCCGGCAGACCATGTGGCGAGCCTTCGAGAACCCCCACACCAGCACCTTAGCCTTAGTCTTTTACTACGTCACCGGGTTCTTTATCGCCGTGTCTGTGATCACCAACGTGGTGGAGACCGTGCCCTGCGGCACCGTGCCGGGTAACAAGGAGCTGCCCTGCGGGGAGCGCTACGCCGTGGCTTTCTTTTGCCTGGACACGGCGTGCGTGATGATCTTCACCGTCGAGTACCTGCTGAGACTCTTCGCGGCGCCCAGCCGCTACCGCTTCATCCGCAGCGTGATGAGCATCATCGACGTGGTGGCCATCATGCCCTACTACATCGGCCTGGTGATGACCAACAACGAGGACGTCAGCGGAGCCTTTGTCACGCTAAGGGTTTTTAGGGTTTTCAGGATTTTCAAGTTCTCCCGCCATTCCCAAGGCCTGAGGATCTTGGGCTACACTTTGAAGAGCTGTGCCTCCGAGCTTGGCTTTCTCCTCTTTTCCCTCACTATGGCAATCATCATCTTTGCAACTGTGATGTTTTATGCAGAGAAAGGGTCCTCGGCAAGCAAATTCACCAGTATTCCTGCTTCCTTTTGGTACACTATTGTAACCATGACAACACTGGGGTGAGTATTACTTTTCCTTTTCCTGAGCAGCAGGCAAGCATGCACTGGGAGCTTGACTTCAGCTTCTTCTCAGCGTTTTCCTGGGTGCATGTTCGAGAAGGGGCTGGAAGCGTTGAGGGCTTGATTATTCTTTGCCTTACAACTTGTGCAATTTGTGTGCAGTTGTATAAACCAGAAAAAGCACTTACACCCACTTGACAAATGCTCGGCACCACGGTAAATGAGCGCAGGGGGAGCAGAGTGGTGGAGTAGCAGGTTGTGATTCATTCCTGCAGGAGGGAAAAGCTGACCCGACTGCAAGGGGCTGGGAGGGAGAGCTCTGTTCTCTCTGACATTGCCCCAGCCCTGCGCTCACACAAAGCTGCTGATGGATCTGTTGTGTCTCGTTGCAATGTCACTCGTTGTTTCTCCCCTTGGCTTGCCAGCAACTACAGATTTGCTGAATTCAAGTGGATGTTGTGGGTCACTGTACTGGAATGCTCAGTGATGGCCAGGACATGAGCTGGTTTTTACTGAATCCAGCAGGATTGGGGTTTCTCGTCTGTGTTTAGCTGTGAGTCTGAGAACCGGGCGTGCTGTGGTGGTTGCAGTAGAATTTCAAACGTTCCCATGGACAGGTACAAAGATAATGAAATCAAAGCAAGGGGAATGTAGCCTGGAGGGCACTTTCCCCCCTTGGATTTCATTTCTGTCTCACAGATATTGCAACTAAGATTACAGATTTGTGCTTCTGCTGCTCTGAACTAAAACCTCTGCGAGCAGAATGGCCAAACCCTCACCCTGACAAGGTTATGTAGAGGAAAGTGGGCATTGCAGGCTGCTGCTTCAGGCACACATAAAGCCAGGAGCGAGTGCAATCTCCTCTTCCCACACATCAGAACCATACAGGAAGTTTAGAGTTACTTTGCAAAGAGTTTTCCCACTGGAGATTTCACACAGTGTAATATTCAGATGTAGACAATTCTCCTCCTTGTAACACAGTGACCACTTTTTCTCTAAACTGCTTTTGATTTTAAACACTTCTCTGTGCCTATTATACAGGAACAGGCTCACAGTAGCACTTTTTAATTATTAAAATCATAATTCAGCTGTCAGAAAGGCGCCGAATCTGGGAACATGACAACCGAAAGCCTGAATTTCTTCATTAAGTGCAAGTGTAGAACCTGTTTGTCATAGTCACCTACAGATCTCTTATTCTTCCTTTTTAATAACTAAGCAAAGTTTGCAAGTTTATGGAAAAAGCTGTTCCTTACTCTGGGAAAGGCAGCGCTTGGAAATCAGAGCTGGGCTTTGCATCCCAGCACTGCCCCACGCTGGGGCCCAGCTTTCCATATTCTGACTGGTCCAAACTGGTCAGTTCCCCCCTCCTGACCCCACCACTGTATCAGATCAGCTTCAGAGGGACCCCTGCCTTGGGTGGCTCCTTCCCGTGCCTCTGCACGAGGGGAGATGTGTGAAAATCCAGTTCCATTTTCAGATTCCTGTTTAATAATGATCCCATCCAGCCCTGCCTGGACACAGCCTGCACCCGTCCACGCTTGTGCTGTCACATCTCTGACAGGAGCCTCGGGGCCAGGGGCCATCCTGGGTGGGTTGGGAAGGGCTCCAGTACGTGCAGAATGTGCTGGAGAGCAGCTGGGCTCTGCTCCTGCCTCGGTTTGGGTCCCTTTCCCTCCCTTCCTGAGCACAGGGACAAACCCAGCACTCCCAAGGACCTCAGAGTGTTCCCAACTTGTAATCTCAGAAATCATAGAGGAACAAGTGCCGGGAAGGAGTTGACGTGGATTTAAGAAATCAGACATTTAAACATGGCTTTGTCAGGGTTCATTGGGAAGGGACCTATAAAATGCTGTCAGTCTTAAAACTGAGACTCCTGAGACTGGTTTGGGTTGTTTGACTGATTTTTGGGTTGTTTCCACCTTCCTTTCCCCTGTGTGGGGTGGGGGTTAACCTCCTGGAGGAGTTCACCATCTAGGGCTAACCCTCCTGGCCCCTTCCTCTCCCCAAAAATCCTTCCAGTTCTGACAAACTGGCACTTTCAGACAATATTTCATATACATCTTTCTTCAGAAGTCTTTTCAATCTGTTAGGAAGGATCTTGTTACTAATGAGAGTCCTGGCAATTCCAGCTGCACAGGTGCTGCCAGAAATGCAGCCAAGGTCTCCAACGTGCTGCTCAAGCCATCAGATCCACTTCACTGCTTGGATTTCAGCAGCACTCAGAGCTTTCACAGAGATCTTAAATATGTCCTGCCTTTTGCCCTTAATAGTTCAGCCAGCATCTAAAACAAGAAGCTATGAAGCACAACAGTTTTTAACTCAAAACCATAGATATATATCTACATGTAGTTTGTTTTCACCACCAATGTGTTTAAATTTAAGTGAAGGTTTCCCCGAGGCTGGAATGCCACCATTGCTTTGACAGAGAGCCTTAGAGGAGAGGTCTGGAATGTGCAGGAAAACTTTTTCCCTGATCCTAGGATGAACTCCATTTGTGTAGAACAAAAGTTTACTTACAACAAACAAGCAAACAAAGCCAAGAGTAGGAGACCATTAACCCTCCCTCACTGTACTGTGCATCAGCTGCTCTCCCAAATTCCCGAGTATCTTTGGGATACAATTACACTTCCAGACTGACCCGTAAATAAAAGGCAATGCAAATGCATTTCTTCTTGAAGGTGAAGCCCAGCATCAATAAATAACCTCTGGTTTTGGTGGGGTTACCATGCAAAACAGTTTAGAGAAATTTAGGATGACTTGCAGGCTCCTTAGGCAGTTAACAGGGAGCCAGGTACAGCAGCTTTTCTGGAGTGGGAAACAAAGCAAAGGAATTAAATTATACTGACCCTGCATCTCCAATCCCTCTGCTGTGCTCATCAGCCCTGGTTTAACAGAGGCTGTTTTTAATTTAACACAATTTAAATTTTGCTCAGGAGGCTTTCTAATGAAAGCATTATTCTTGGGTGCATCTTAAATCAATCTGAATTACTGAAACAACTATTCAAAATTAATTCAAAATCAGCTCTCCTATTCATGCAGAAACATTTTTCTCAAGAGGCCAACAGCTCCCCATCTCCTCTCGACAGCCCCAGTGCCACGAGCTCTGCCTTTGCCAGCCCCTTCCTGTGACCTGCAGGAGCTTCTGACCCCAGCTCAGGGGTGCAAGTGCTGCCAAGAGCAGCAGAGGAGCAGTGCCAGGCCCATCCATGGCCCTGTGCTGGCTTTTAGCTAATTCAGTATGCAATCACTGGGTTTACATCTCTATGGAAATGTGTTAATGAGAGTGAATTTGGTTCCCTTGGTACCAGTGCATTGGTTTTCATGGAATCACAGAACAGTAAGGGTTGGAAGGGACCTTAAAGCCCAGCTCATTCCAACCCCCAGCCATGGGCAGGGACACTTTCCACTAGCCCAGGCTGCTCCAAGCCCCACCCAGTACTCAGTTTAATTCACTTTTAGGGAGCGATAGGGATGGGGAAGCCTCAGGTTCTGCTGCTGCCCCTCGTGTGCAGCACAAACACAAAACCTGTGTCACCCCACTAAACCCCATGCCAGTTTTGCCCAGAGAAAGTGTTTTCTAAGCTTTTTACAGCTGTTTTCATTTCATCTGACAGCAGCAGTATGTTTCACTCCTAGGCAGTGTCTATGACCTGCAGCAGAGGCATCAAACTGTAGCTGTGAAAACCTGAGTGCCACATCTTCCTGCAGCCCTGCTGGGCATCCCCGAGAGGGAAGGGAGACCTGGGATGGTTTGGGTTGGAGGGACCTTGGAGCCCATCCAGTGTCACCCCTGATACAGCAGGGACACCTCTCACTGTCCCAGGCTGCTCCAGCCCCATCCAGCCTGGCCTTGGGCACTGCCAGGGATCCAGGGGCTGCTCTGGGCACCTGTGCCAGGTCCTGCCCACGCTCATATTGCTTCCCAATATCCCATCCAGCCCTGCCCTCTGGATGCCATTGTGGGAAGACATTTCCCCTTGTCCTGTCAGTCCATGGCCATGTAAAATGTTCTACATTTAAATTCTAGCTCATTGAAATGAGCTCTTTAGGCACTGGAAGGTGCCGCAAGCAAGGAATATTACTGGGGGGAATTGTCACCGAGACATTTGGGCTGTTTTTGTCAAGAAAGCAGCAGTGGCACAGCCTGAGCACTCAGTGAGTGCCACAGAGGCTGGTGCTGGCTTTGGTTTGTCCTGAGGGATACACTGTGCAGCTTTCTCTCGCTCAGAAAAGCTGAGCTCCCACAGCTCAGCGCCCTCGGGGTGCTCGTCAGAGAATCTCTCTGGCTGACTGTCGCCTTTACAATTTGCAAAGGCTTTTAGAGCCCTATCCCTCTTTCAGGTTGGGCTGCACTGCTCCATGGCTTTCAAAGACACAGCTCAGTGCACTTGGACAACACAGGCCCATCTGTATAATTCATTTAAGGAACCAGGTTAACGCTGGGAAGTCGATAAAACAGCCCTGCTGGCCTGGTTATGTCAACAGCCTGATCTGGAGCAGGAGCTGGAATTTCTTAGAAGGTTTATTAGCTGAGTGTGTAGAGAGCAGGGGTTTGAGGGTCTGTTTGGTTTGTCTTGGCTCAGTGTTGCCTCTGCCAAATGTGGATCGGAGCGAACACGAGCGAGCGGGCTCGCTGAGAGAACATCAGCCTCTGTTTTGCTTATTTCTGGGTTTTTCTCCTCTTTGCTGGTGCTCAGTCCCCAGGAGAGGGGTCGGAGTGTGAGCGGTGCCGTGGCACGTGGGGGCCGTGGTGCTGCCAGCTGGGCTGAGCCCCCAGCACGTTCCAGCGCTCGCTGCCAGCACCGTGAGAGCAGAGCGAGCTCTGATTTCTGCTCAGCACAACCACTCAGGCTGATAGTAACCTTCATTCACCCTCCTTCACGCAGACTGAGAGCAGTGTGCAAGGAAGGAAAATAATAAATCATCTCTGGAGCGCTGCCACTCCCGGCTCCTCGGGAAAGATTGTTGTTTGGGCCAGGAGTCACGGTGTGCGTGTCAGGACTT